CACATTTAATTGCCATATTTTTCTGCACAAAATAAGTCATTCCTACAAGAAGGCAGTTCTTTCGACCTTGAGGCTACAGCTAGGACATCAGCTCAGAACTCTCAGGTGGTGAAGGACCTGTTCTCCCCCTGGGTGGAGACCGAGACAACGATGCTATGGGAACTGGGAATAAGCAAAAAAAAAAAATACTCAGCTTGATAATTTCAGTCTGGGAGAATTTGGTCCATGAGGGGAGAGAAAGGGCCGGAGGGGGTATTGGGAGGGGGGCCTGGAGACAAAAAAATCACGTATTTCAAGGAACATGCTAAGAGCAAACCCAAGTCCCAAGGCAAATGCTCAGGAGTAGAGAACAGGGAAGACTCAGGATGAAGCCAGTGGACCCTAGAGGACAAGTCTGGAAAGATTCCTTGAATTAGTGGCCTAGGGAGGGTATGAGAAAAACGCGATCCTTTTAGAGAAGGGATCTGTGACATGGCAGTGCTGCTGAGACAGGTAAGCTTTATTCTAAGTCAAGTAAGCAGTCTCTGAAAGAGAAGCCTTGAAAATCCACACTTGTAAAAAACATAGAGAACACTATGCCCAGCCACTGTAAAGTTACAGAAAATGTGCAAGTGGCATCCAGATTGTCCATGTGGGTCTTGTGACTCGGATGTAAAATATAACAGATGATTTCTCCTCCAGACATTTGACTCTAAGAAAAAATTAGACATTAGGCCCAAGGGAAATAATGGCTAGGTAGTGAGGGTAAATGGCCTTCTCTTCTCTATGAACAGCTGGAAGTGGCAGAAACCAAGGCACTCAGTGGAGAAAACAATGCTAACAATGCTAAGAGGAGAAAGTGTGTGTGTGTGTGTGTGTACATGTGAATGTGTAATTATTTTGACTGTTGGCACTTGGGTTGTTTTTAGAAAGGTAAAGGTCTTATTGAACGAAATACTTTGATGAGCTTGGGCATGGTAAGAAATGAGCTCAGAGACCTCAAGAGCTCTGCATAATAAAAGACAGGCAGAACTCGGCTGTGGGAGAAAGGAGTTCGTAGAAAAGAGCTGGCCAGGTTCTAAGGCAGGGGGCTGGGAACTGAGAAAGGCAAATGAAAAATGCCCTGCAGCCAAGAACTGAGAGGAAACAGCCTTCAAAAGACCAAGCTGAAGGCCCTTAGCCTTCAGAATATTCTGCCATGACCCCACATCCCTTGTGGAGTTGCGTTTTGGAAAAATTAAGTTAAGGGGGCTCTATTTCACTCCAGGTTGGTTCTGAGAGAAAAAAGAGGGACAGAAAGCTGAATTGTGAGCAGGAACTCAGCCCCAGAAATGGCTACAAGAGGAATAATCCTAGGACAAGGCTGGGGATGAGATGCTGAGATAATACTAACTTAATTATCAAAGTCAGGGGCTCCTAAGCTATAATCTAAGTTGTTTTTGAATATTATTGTCATATGAATAAAGAACATAATATTAGAAGTCACCTCCATATTCTTTCCACATCTTCTTAGGACCTGTTTGGGGAGCACAAATTAAAGAAAACTGCTTTTCATCACCCTGAAAATCATTCCTCTCTGCTATTTAGAGAACCATGGGCCAAGAGATTAGAACCTAAAAATGTGATTGTTTCAAAAATACACAAAGGGAAAATACTCCTTGTTTTTCTAAAATCTTGCTGTGCAACGTCAAAATTTGCCAAAGTAATTTTGACACATTATGATTAATTTCCCGGCAATCTTTCAAAGGAGCATTTTGTTAAAGTGTACAAATCCACATGAGGGTTTGTGACCAGCTCTGATTGCAGTCTGTCAAAATGAGCCCTCTACCATTGTTCTAAGCAAATTAACACAGAAACAGAAAAATGAATACCACATGTTCTCACTGATTGTAGGCGCTAAATACTGGGTACACATGGGCATAAGGATGGGAAAAACAGACACTGGAGAATTCTAAAGAGGGAGGAGGGGAGTGGGGTAAGGGTTGAAAAACCACTCATTAGGCACCATGCTCATCACTTGGCCCAAAACTCATTAGGCCCAAAACTCATCATCATGTAATATACTTATGTAACAAACCTGCACACGTATCCCTTGAATCTAAAATAATTTTTAAAGTGAGTCCTCTATTCTTCCACAACAATTTTTAACTGATATGAAAGACCCTATGTATTGAGAATAGGTAGTATGTTTTTAAAAATAAAATAAAATAAAGAATGTGAAATCCACAAGAAAATGGGATTATATGTATAATAAAGGTATTTAAATATACATAACAAATATATTGATATATTTACCAGCATATTTGCTTTACTCAATTATATCATTTATATTATAAAATAACCTTTTTATTATCTATTCAAACAAAGGATAGTGAGATTGGAGGCAAGGAGACACTTAATATTAAACAAAAAATTTTAGGAAGCAAGCAATGATACTGTGACCACAGAAAATCAATTTAGAAAATAAAATAGAATAAAAATTAATTTAGAAAATAAAATAGAATTAAAACTGTAGGTCTTGATAGCACTTGAAGATATCACCTATTGAGTCTAACTAATGCTAGATGCAAGAATTACTGCTTGAGTGTATATATCACTGTGGAAGAAAAAACAAACATACAAACAAACAAAAAACACTGCTGTTCTTTTACTCAGTACATTTTAAGAAATGTTTGCTGCCAAAGATATTTTTTAAATACCTCTTAGCTTGATTAAATCAAATGTTCTTTACAAAGTTGTCTCTGACAATGAGATGAACTAAGATTAATTTTCACTATAATCATAAATAAAAACTATTTAAAGTTCATGATTCGATGGAAGTAATAAATTGTAATATCAACTCATTCCTATTTTGGATCCAAGTAATTCAACCTCAAGACAAAGTTATGAGTTTCTTGAAACTCACACAGCAACCCCAGTATCCCTTGAGAAAGCTTTCCTATCTTTTACAATGACTATCTTCAAAAAAACAGCATAAGGACAAGAATCCTTTGGAAGACAGGTGAGTCCTAACCCTTTGCCTACTGAGAGCTGCTAACAGTTCCCTTAGCTGATCTTCCTTTTGCCCTGTGTTTGAGGTCACGTGCTTACCTGACTTTAGTCACACTTGTGTGAAGTCCATCCAAAATTCTTATATTATTAATCATCACATCCAGATAAAAATTTTAAAAAATGATTTGAGAAAAAGCTTGGTGTAGACACATAGGCGAGACCATGCACCAGGCATCATTATAAAGATATTCATTTCACACTCATTGCAACCCTATAAGGTTAGTTACTATTATTATCTGCAATTCTTCAGCTAAGGGGACAGAAGCACAGAGAACCTAAGTAACTTTGAAGGTTTCAGGGCTAGAAACTAGTAGAACAGGGATTCCAACCAAACCTTAAGGATCTGGCTTAAAAGCTGATAATCTAAACCATTTTGCTTTACTATCAAGGAAATTAGAGTAAAAAGGACATGCTTGGTAGATCAGAGGCAGAAGTTTGGAACCCAAGCACAGAACACAAGAGTTCTCCTCATCTTACTCCTTCACATCATTAAAGTTTTCAGGATTCTCTAGATCTATGTTGGGTGAAGGCCCCTTGCAAATAGACCAAAAGAAGATGATGAACATATAGAAAAAGACACATTAAATCTCAATCTAGAACTAAAAACTAGAATGTTCTTTGACGACTCCTATAAAAATTCAGGACTTGACACTTGAAATGGTGTCAAGTGCCACTAAGTAACAGACCATGGTTTTCAAACAGTGATTTGGAGGACTGCAGAGCTCCAAAAATCTCCGTAAAGGGCCCTATATCCAGTTCCAGTTCCACTTTTATATGCTTTACACATTGAATTCCTCCACAAAAAACCTTTTTTTGTGTGTGTGTCGGAGTCTCACTCCATCGTCCAGCCTGGAATGCAGTGGCAAGCTCACGGGCACCCTAGCGTTGACCTGCTGGGCTCAGGGAGTCCTTCCGCCTCAGGCTTCCAGGTAGCAGGAACTACAGGCACGTGCTACCATACCTGGCTAATTTTTTGGTTTCTTGTAGAAATAAAGTCTTACTAAGTTGCCCAGGCTGTTCTTGAACCTGTGGACTGAGGCAATCCCCTCACCTCAGTCTTTCGAAGTGCTGGGTTTACAAGCTTGAGCCACTGTACCTGGTCAAAAAAACTTTTTTAAAGAAACAGCTCCAGCTGGGCTCGGTGGCTCAGCCTGTAACCTGACTTTAGTCACACCTGTGTGAAGTCCATCCAAAATTCTTATATTTTGGATGGACAAAATTCTTATATTATTAATCATCACATTCAGATAAAAATTTAAAAAAATGATTTGAGAAAAAGCTTGGTGTAGACACATAGGCGAGACCATGCACCAGGCTGAGGTGAGTGGATTGCCTGAACCCTCGGGTTCGAGACCCGCCTGGGCAACTCGGCGAGACCTCATCTCTACAATAAATAAAAAAAATCAGCCGGGCGTTGTAGCACATGCCTGTAATTCCTGCTACTCGAGGCTGCCGTGGCCGGGAGTGGCCACTGCACTCAAGTCTGGGCGACAGAGTGAGACTCTGACTCAAAAAAAAAGAAAGAAAGAAACAACTCCAGTGCTTAAAATTTATGTATGTATAAAATCATCTTTATATCCTATTCAATACCTTGCTTATTGATTCATCCCTTCATTCACTGTATTAGGTATTGAGAAAACCAAGTGAAATTTCACATAGCCCCTTCACTCAAGGAGCTTGCGATTTTAGGAACTGAGCCAGTTTGAGGGCTGAGTTTAATTTAAAGTCAATCATTATCCTGCATACTCATTTTAAGGCAATATAATCATAGGTCAAGACCCTTTCAGTGCTACCAATTTTAACTTTTTGCTCATCACAGGCAAACACATCTCAATAGGAGACATGAGATCATATTAGTCTTAGAGGATTGAGAAAGGAAGATTTATACTCACTCAAAATCAGCGCCGATAAAAGAAGCAGAACACTGTTATTTTTTTCTTCAAATGTGTAAAAATTGTTTCATTTCTTACCTCTAGAGCTTTCAATCTTTCTAACAGCAATTTAGTCTTTTCTTTTCCCTCGTCTGCACTGCTACTTTCACTCCTTGAGTCCTCATCCACCATCAGATGGAGATCTTCCAAAGCTTCCTTATGTTTTCTCTCTTCCTCTGACAGGTTTTCCTGAAGCAAGAAAGAATTACTGCTTTCAATAATCTCTACTGAAACATAAGCATGAGTGTAAGGCTGAAAATGTTAAAATCCTCCTATCGTTTGGACGTTTTTCTGGGGCTAAGGTAGTGATTTGGCTAAACAAATTCTGAGTGGGGCTTATACTAGTAAACACAGTAGATATTCTTACTGAGCCCTGGCAGGACAAAATCACTGAGTCACCGTCCCTGAATGCGGATGTCCTTTGCTCAGTTGGAGAAGTGACCAAGCCAGCAAAGCCACAGGTAAAGTCATACAGTTAATCCAATTTTATCTACACAATGGAATTCAGCTGTGTCTTAAACTGAGAAAAAAATACATCAGTCTTGACACCTTAGTTTGTGAAAGGCTTAGCTCCTCAAAATAGGATCATTAAAGTCACTGGATATGCAACCATTTAATTAAGAGAATGCAAAATAACACAAAATACTGAAATAATAGTGACGTCAGATTTCTAAGATGAAACCAATTAGTTCTTTCAGCTCAAAATGACCCAGTTTTAAAGGACCACTTAGTCCCCTTTGTAACCCAAGGGTTTATAGTACAGCCTATGAAAGGTATACAAAGTTATTTTGTCCGGCCTCCCTGCTGGAAGCTCCTCGCTCAACCTTGTCTCTGGAAGCTTTTTTGAGTGTTAATTTGGGTCTCATGATAAGCTCTTATTTTTAAGGAACAAAGAAATGTTAAGAGAATGTCATATGAAAAGCATCCTATCCATTGTGTGCATCCATCAAGACCCTTGCTCTACAGAACCAGGTGACATCATTTCATCACACTATTTAATCTGAAACACAACACTGCAGTTATTGCTTTAATACAGTTGGTTGTCAATTACCTGGGAGAATTTGGATTATCAATGGTGAGAGACTTCTCGATATTTCAGTACTAAGCTAAGATCAATTTTCAAATATACAGAAGCACAAAGATATAATTCTTAACCTTAAGACAGTCATACAATCTACTTAGAAAAAAAAGACAGCATAAGAAGGAAAAAAAAGTGATTTTCAAACTCTGTTCACCAAGGTGCTTTGAAGGTCTCAAAAAAAATTGATCTAAATTATTTTTTTGAAAATAAATTATGGGCTGGGCACAGTGACTCAGTCTGTAATCCCAGCACATTGGGAGGCCAAGGTAAGAGGATTGCCTGAGTCTGGAGGTTTGAGACCAGCCTGGGAAACTTGGTGAGACCTTGTCTCTACAATAAAGGACAAAAAAACACACACAAAAACTAGCTGGGCGTGGTGGCATGCATCTGTAGTTCCAGCTACTTGGAAGGCTGAGACAGAAGGATTGCCTAAGCCTAGCAGGTCAAGGCTATAGTGGCCATATGCTTGCCACTGCACTCCAGCCTGGACGACAAGAGTAAGACTCCAACTCAAAAAAAAAGAAAAGAAATTATGAAGTATAGCTGGGCTCGGTGGTTCAGCCTGTAATCCCGTGCCTTTGGGAAGCTGAGGTGAGTGGATTGCCTGAGCCCGCGCATTTGAGACCCACCTGGGGAACTTGGCGAGACCTTGTCTCTACAATAAATCAAAAATTAGCCGGGCGTGGTAGTGTGCACTTGTAGTTCCAGCTACTTGGAAGGCTGAGGTGGAAGGATCGTCTGAGCCCAGCAAGTGGAGGCTGCGGTGGCCAGGAGCGGCCACTGCACTCCAGTCTGGGCGACAGAGTGAGACTCCAACTCAAAAAAAAAAAACAAAAAACAAAAGAAAGAAATTATGAAGTATGTGAAAAAGTCTTACTGTATATGAATACATGTATAAACATGTATGTATAAGTGTATACACTTATATGTATAAAACACTGGTGATCACCAAGTTAGTAAATTGATCCATGCTAATCTGTTTTGTACCAATTTCAGAATATAATTTCTCCTGTCATCTCTGTACACATAAATACACAAGTGATTAAGACGGCAGTAGCTGTTTATGACATCAGGCCCAACCATGTCTAACCATATACAATGTGCAGGTGTGTTCACTTTCATAGAAGGTATGAGTTCAGCTCAAACAAATGCCAGGTAAGTTTAAGGTGCACATCCACAGGCTGGAAAACAAATCCAGGTCATGGTAGCATTGTTTATAGCTTTGCTTCTTTGTTTAAGGTTTGGCTGCTGGTCAGACTTTCATTTCCATGATAAGGATATAAAGTTTGAGGTATTGTTATCAACTCAGTTTTGAAGCAAAGAGGTTCTTCTACTTCTCTTTTATGATTTGGGATCACTGTCAGTAAACGCTAAACTGGACAAGCTGTTTTAAAAATTATCATCTTCATTTTACTTCTCTTTGTTAATTATGGTTTTTCATCTCTCACTCAGCATATTTCACTTGAATTTTTTATATGTGCACATATGCACACACATATATATACGGTTGGGCATTGCTTAACGATGGGGATACCCTCTGAGAAATGTGTCTTAGGCAATTTTGTTATGCAAACATCATAGAGTGTACTTACACAAGCCTAGTTGGTATAGCCTACAGCACTCTTTGGCTGTATGGTATAACCTATTGTTACTAGCCTAAAAACCTGTTCTGCATATTATTGTACTGACTACTATAGGTAACTATAACACAACGGGAAGTATTTTTGTATCTAAACATAGAAAAAGTAGAGTACAAATACATGCAGTATTATAATCTTCTGGGACCACCAGTGATGTGGTCCACTGTTGACTGAAATGTCATTATACAATGCAATTACTGTGTGCATGTGTGTGTGTGTGTCTGTATATGTATATGTATATACGTACCCTGTAATGATCACAACTCCACAGCTAATTAAAGCAAAGAAAAGCCACTGCTGTGGTAAATGGAAAGCCAAATACTTTGGAATCTGACAGCCAGATTGGAGGTCTACCATTTATTAAGCAGCTGGGCAAATAATCTTGGGCAAATCACTTAATTTCAATAAGTATTGGTTTCTTTGCCTCAAACTCCTAAATGAGGCTAATACCAACATACATATACTTACACACTATATAGTGAATTCTCATTATTCACAGTAGTCATGTTCTATAAAGTCGTCACAAACACTGAATTAGCAAATATAAAATTACTGTGTGTAGGGGAAATATAGGGTTATGTTCCTGTGTGCCTCTGGTTACAACACTTTCACCAACCAATCAATATCCAACCTTGTTTTGTATGTGTTTCTATTTAAAGACAACTTTATTTTATATATTGTTGATTCATTAATGTTGAATCAACAGCACTATAGCTCCTGCCTGAATGAACTTTATTTAGCACACATATTTTCTCCATAAGACACATTACAACCTTCTTGTGCTTAGAAACACTAGGCAGCACTTCAGAACTATATTTGGCACCATTTTAAATAATGACATCACCAACAAAAATCACAAAATGCAAAAACAAAAACAAAAAAGGCATTAAGTAACCACAAAAGAAATACTTGTATGAGAGCTAAAACAAGAAGGCAGTGTTTCCTTGTGCCATCCTACCTGGAAACTCAAGTGACAAACTTTTTACCACTCTGTGCATGAATGTGAATGGCCACAAAGTGCCACAAGTATTAATTTTGGGGTTGCAAATAAATTTTTGAGTAGGTAATTTGCAAATACAGAAGCCACAAATAATGAGGATGCACTACCATACACAAATACACATGCTCTTAAAGTGCCCAGATACAGTGCCTAAATATTATGAAGTAAAACAACTGAAATATAGATAATGTAGATTATATATGAGTATTTAAATTACATAAAATGCAAGGGCCATTTTACATTTGAAGAAAGGGTAATCAATGAGAGCTAAGAGACATAATTCAATGGAAATTGAATGCAACATATTTTGGTGTAGTGATACCACTTAAATAGTTAGGCACTGTGTAGGAGTTGGGTCAAAAAGAAAACTGAAATAAGGTTCCTAGTCAGAAGTAAGTTTTACCTTACAGAAGAAAGTTTATAAGAAAATCAATTTGGTTATAAGAGAGGAAAAAAAGTTTTTGAGAGAGCAGTTGAGTACAAATAGGATTGGAAAGTAAAGGAGGAAAAGGACTCTTGGAAATGAGACAGAAAAAAAATCATACACAATTCATTCATTTGTTCATTCAGCAAATGTTTATTGAGCATTGACTACTGGTTATTTGCTGATCTAAGTGCCAGAGATATAGTAAACCAAAGTTCCTATATTCCATGAAATTATATTCTAGTGTTTGGAAGCACAACAAATGCCAAATGAAATCTGTAAATGGTATAATTATAGCTAGTGGTAAATGCTATCAAGAAAATAAAACAACATAATGTGATGGACAGTGGTATGGCTATGGATCACGTGAGATCTAGTGACATCAGAGTAAGTCTATCTGAGGAGGTGGCCCTCTGAGCTGAGGCCAAATGCTGAGGAGGAAGCAGCTGCCAGTGGTTTAGGGGAAGGGTACCTCCCAGCAGAAGTACTAGCCAGAGGCAGAGTGAGGCTTGCCTTGCTGGGAAGCTGGGAGAGTCTGTGTGGTGCAGCATAGTGACTACAAGAGAAAAACTTGTAGAAAATGACATCAGAAAGAAAGCTGTGCCATGGAGAGTCTTGTAAGACACAGGAAGGAGTCTGAATTTTATTCTAAGTGCTATCGAGATGAATTGAAGGCTACGTAGGCTATGGTGGGTTCCAATTTACATTTTAGAAATCCATCCTGACTGATGCAATAGGCTGTGGAGAAAAGAAGCTAAGAGATTAGTTGGCAAGTCTTTATATTGGAAGAAATAAAAATCAGGAAAATTTTGAAGTTTTTAAATCAGGACTTAACCAAAAACAGTTCTTATGGTAGTTCAGAGTGTACCATGAATGGTAGGTCAGAAACCCTAAGTTCAATGCCCAGTTTTTACATTTTTGGACCTTGCTGAGCAAATTATTCTAACTTTTTAGGCCTCAGCTTCTCCCTAGATGTAAAATTAAGAGTTGAACTAAATATCTTTCTCAGTGCTAAAGTTCTAAAAATTCTACTATTCAAGACAC